GTGTTGCCTTAGGAGATACCCCCACCTGGGTGATACTTCAGTAGATAGCCCCCAGCTGTTACCTCAGGAGATCCCCTCCCCTTGGGTGTTGCCTTAGAAGATACCCCCCTCAGCAGTTACCTTAGAATATACTCCCCGAGCTGTTACCTCAACAATAACAAAGAAGAAATGGGGTCCCCCTCCAATTCATACCAGACCCTTTAGGTCTCATTCACCAAATAAACAGTAAAATTGTAAATAAACACACAACACACTATACAAAATCCTTTATTTGAAAGAAAAAACAGGTTCTTTATTAACAATAAAATTGTCCATCGATGTAATCCAAACGTCAATCATGTTGTCCAGCGATGCAGATCCACGTTAATCATGATGGACGACGGCCACCGACTCGCTGAAAGAAAAAATATAACCAACGCCCGCCGACATCACCGAACCTGACGCACTCTCACGGCAAAATGACAGTTCTGAACAGAATGTCAACAAAGGGGCGGAGCGAGTCGTGACATCGCAGGACTTGATCCGCCCCTTTGTTGACATTTGGGAGCAGAGCTGTCATAAAGACTCATTAGTCCAATGAGATTCACTTTTCCAGCTCAAAGGAAAGGCCATGTCGTTGTTCAGTCAATGGATTGGATGCCACCATCCGATCAAACGCTTCAAAGGCTCCCGTGGCTCCTCCTGGTAAGGACCACCTTCTTTAATGATTAGCAGGGTATTAACCCTAACTTCACTCACTGCAGCAAGCAACTAGAGTTCCCTTAGAGAGCGTACTAGTACAAAATGGATCCTGACTGCTTGCTACAGTCATTGCCCTTTGAGTATAGATCTTTATAACTGACCCTATTCACTTTTCTAGCTCAAAACAATGTCCCTTCCGTTGTTAAGCCAAAGAATCTGATGCCATCGAACCAGCAAAATGTTTGACAGGCTCCTGTGGCTGCCACTGGTAAGAACCATGGTCTTTAATGATTAGCAGGCTATTAGCCCTGACCTTACTCACTGCAGCAAGCAACTAGAGTTCACATAAAGAGATTAGCAGTACAAAATGGATTCTGACTGCTTGCAGTTATTGCTCTTCACGCTTAGATCCTTCTAACTGACCTCATTCCCTTTTCCAGTTCAGATAAATCCATTGGTTCTTGGCTGGAACCACTTTGTGTTCACCTGCTGGGACCTGGTTCGAAGCATCAGCCCTGTGACGCAGATGGTGAGTATAAATACTTTGTTTACTAGCTCAGCAGATAAAAGGGGAACAAAAAAATTATATTGGCGTGCTTCTTCATACAGGGATAGCTACATTAAATTTAACTAACTTGTTGTTTTGTTTTCTCTGAGAATCACTAGATAGGTTCACCGTAATCTGAGTGTCAGGAGAAAGGTTCACCATAATCTGAGTGTCAGGAGAAAGGTTCACCGTATTCTGAGAATCAGGAGATAGGGTCAGCATATTCTGAGTGTCAGGAGATAGGGTCACCATATTCTGAGTGTCAGGAGATAGGGTCACCATAATCTGAGTGTCAGGAGATAGGGTCACCATGCTCTGAGTGTCAGGAGATAGGGTCACCATATTCTGAGTGTCAGGAGATAGGGTCACCATATTCTGAGTGTCAGGAGAAAGGTTCACCATATTATGTCAGGAGAAAGGTTCACCATGCTCTGAGTGTCAGGAGATAGGGGCACCATATTCTGAGTGTCAGGAGAAAGGTTCACCATGCTCTGAGTGTCAGGAGATAGGGGCACCATATTCTGAGTGTCAGGAGAAAGGTTCACCATATTCTGAGTGTCAGGAGATAGGGGCACCATATTCTGAGTGTCAGGAGAAAGGTTCACCATGCTCTGAGTGTCAGGAGATAGGGTCACCATATTCTGAGTGTCAGGAGAAAGGTTCACCATATTCTGAGTGTCAGGAGATAGGGTCACCATATTCTGAGTGTCAGGAGAAAGGGTCACCATATTCTGAGTGTCAGGAGATAGGGTCACCATATTCTGAGTGTCAGGAGATAGGGTCACCATATTCTGAGTGTCAGGAGATAGGGTCACCATATTCTGAGTGTCAGGAGATAGGGTCACCATATTCTGAGTGTCAGGAGATAGGGTCACCATATTCTGAGTGTCAGGAGAAAGGGTCACCATATTCTGAGTGTCAGGAGATAGGGGCACCATAATCTGAGTGTCAGGAGAAAGGTTCACCATATTCTGAGTGTCAGGAGATAGGGTCACCATATTCTGAGTGTCAGGAGATAGGGTCACCATATTCTGAGTGTCAGGAGATAGGGTCACCATATTCTGAGTGTCAGGAGATAGGGTCACCATATTCTGAGTGTCAGGAGATAGGGTCACCATATTCTGAGTGTCAGGAGATAGGGTCACCATATTCTGAGTGTCAGGAGATAGGGTCACCATATTCTGAGTGTCAGGAGAAAGGGTCACCATATTCTGAGTGTCAGGAGAAAGGGTCACCATAATCTGAGTGTCAGGAGATAGGGTCACCATATTCTGAGTGTCAGGAGATAGGGTCACCATATTCTGAGTGTCAGGAGATAGGGTCACCATATTCTGAGTGTCAGGAGAAAGGGTCACCATATTCTGAGTGTCAGGAGATAGGGGCACCATAATCTGAGTGTCAGGAGATAGGGTCACCATATTCTGAGTGTCAGGAGATAGGGTCAC